CCTCACCCGTGGAGCGCGCGACCCCCGTCGCCCGAGGAGCACGCCCCCCGCCGCACGAGGAGCACGCCCCTCCTTCCTCACCCGTGGAGCGCGCGCCCCCCCGCCGCTCGAAGAGCATGCGCGCTTCTCCGTCCCCCGCCGGCCGAGTGGCTGCCTCCCCTTCCCCCCTCGGCGCGGACGCGCAGGGCGCGGAACATGGCGGCGCGGCCGGGTGGCCCAGCCTCGCCGCCGCAGGGCCGAGACGGAGCGGCCCCCAATGTGGTGGCGCGGGTGGCGCAGTGGGCCGACGACCACCTGGTCCTCGTTCGGGTACGGCAGCCCCGCCGTCCGGGCAGGGGATGGGCGCAGGGGGCGCGGAGCGAGCCGGAGGGAGACGTGTCCCAGGGAGGCCCAGGCGGTGGGCCCTGCCAGACCTGGGACGGACGGGGTGTCACGGGGGCGGGGGCGACATGGCGGGGGTCGCAGTACAGGGCTGCGGAGGGCGCGCGGCAGCCCGGGGGCCCATGTGCCTTATTTCTGGATCCCGCAGAGTGCTCGACGCAGCCCATGTTCGGGGACCGCGGGTCCTTTAGAGCATTGGGAAGGGGGCCAAGCGGTTCTGTAGGTGCCTTGGTGAACGGTTTCTGAGGTCACTGGAGCTTGAGCAAAAGGACGACGTCTGATCATGGTTTTTGTTTGTTTGCTTTTATAAGAATTTTTTTTCAAAATGCTGTTTTAAAAAATTAAATCGACTAAAAAAATTTCCAGTTTTTTGACATCATCCAGGAAGAGTGGTTTTGCTTTATGAACCACCCAACAAGGGCCGGGTAATTTGAATCCACACTTCGGGGAGAAGCTGTAGAGCGATGTTTGCAAAGATCATCTGATTGCTGTGGGGATAGTGCTCTAGGGAGGAGGCAGGGCGGTCAGGTGCCTGCGGGGAGCCCTGGCGAGCCCTGCGGCGTGGGAGAGGAAGAGGGGTATCGCTGGGTGGAGGAAGGTTGGGGTAAATGCCTTGCTGGGGAAAATCTAGAGGGCGTTTTAGACATATGAACTTCAAGATACGTGTTAAAGGGAGATGTGTGAATTTGAAGCTGCTCATTAGACTTCTAATAGGTATTGCAGCTGCCGTTTTAGGCAGCTGGATAGGAGACTGGTTTTGAAGGGAGATCAAACCTGGATATATAGAACTTTGGGAGTGAGCTGCATAAACCTTAGGTAGTATTTAAAGCCGTGGGCTTGAATGACATCTGGAGCAAATGAGAAAAGGTACCGAAAAAGGCCTACAACTGAGACCTGGGTCATCCTAACGCTTTGAATCAGGGCAGTGAAAAGGAGAAGTCAGCGAAGACAAGGAGCAGGCAGTGAGGGAGGAGGGATATTGGGAAAGTGAAGAGAGTGTGTTCAGAAGGAGTGGTTAACTTTTTAAAATTTGGCCGAGAAGTTGCGGAGGGTGAGCTTTGCAAATACTCTGCGGCCAAGCAGCACGGGGGCCAGGGGCTTGTCTGTTCTCCCTCTCAGTTGTAGCGTCGGCCCCTTAAAGTAGTACCTGCCGCTTAGGAAGACCCGGATACATATTTGTAGCTCTGATGAATGCCAGATCTGTGTGTGTTCTTTGACGAGTCCTTGTTTCTTCCGCTTAAGCAGGAGTGAATGCCTGGGCTGTTTGAAATTAAGTGACCTGAGAAGGAATTCGGGAGGAATCGTGTTATTCCAAATAACCTAATCACAGATTCCCGACACTGTACCCTTGTGTATATTTACAACTTTATTTCTTGTATACCTAGTTGTGTATATTGAAGGAAAATACGTTAGATTATCACTTTTTTAGGAAGTTGCAGGATTCTTTTTAATTAAACTCATTTGTTCTATTTCAATTCAAATGAAACACTTCAAGAATATCCGTTTTTTTCTCCTTTTTATGTTGTAAATATGTATGTAACAAAACATTTGACATTTCTGCAATCTTTACATTTCAGTGACACGTTCATCATGTTGACAGTCATCCTGATCCAGTCCCAGATCACACCATCATCCTTAACAGAAGCCCAGGGTCTCCTAAGCATTGAGTTCTCTTTTCCCTCTCCCACTCACCCCCGGCAACCACTAATACACTTTGGTCTGTATACGTCTGCCTGTTCTAGATACCTCATATAAGTAGGATCATGCAGTATTTGTCCTTTTGTGACTGGCTTATTTCACTCAGCATAATGTTTTCAAAGTTAGTCCATGTTGTAGCACTTATCAGGAGTTCAGTTTCTCCATGGCTGAGTAACATTCCGTTATATGTATATACCACATTTTGTTTATCTGTTTGGCGGTTGGAGCCTGGTGGCGCAGTGGATAAGAGCTCAGACTGCTAACCAGAAGGTTGGCACTTCGAATCCACCAGCTGCTCCTTGGAAACCCTGCGGGGCAGTTGTCCTGTAGAGTCACTATGAGTTGGAATAACTTGATGGCAGTTGGTTTTTGGGTTTTACTCATCTGTTGCTAGGCGTTTGGGCCTGTTTCCATTGTTTGGCAATGTGCTGTAATGTGGCGTAGAAGCGTCTGTTTGCTATTCAGTTTGTACTTCTCTTGGGTGTGTATTTGGGAGTGGAGTTGCTAGATCATACGGTAATTCTATGTTTAACTTCTTCAGAAACCGCCAAAGTGTTCTGCATAGTAGCTGCAGCCTTTTACAATCCCACTAGCAATGGATGAGGGTTCCAATTTCTCCACATCCTTGCATCAGTATTTTTCCCAACCATTTACCTACATATATTTGCTAAGGTGCTGTATTTTAAGGTTTTAACGATAAGGTATTCTGCCAAATACTTAAATTTCCACTGTAAACTTAGGCTTATGGTCAGATTTGAAGCCCTGGTGTGACGTAGTGGTTAAGAGCTCAGCTGCTAACCAGAAAGGTTGGCAGTTTGAATCCACCAGCTGCTCCTTGGAAACCCTCCTGGGCAGTTCTGTCCTGTCCTGTAGGGTTGCTGTGAGTCAGAATCGACTTGACAGCAGCAGGGTTCGTCTGGTTTTTTCGACAGTTGGATTTACTGTGGGCATTGCAAAAGAAGGATTAGACCAGTTCATGCGTTCAGGGAACTATGGTTAAAGCAGTACAATCAACAGAGAACAAGTACATCAAAATTACTGCGCATACCAGATTGCTTGGAACAGACTGGGAGTGTTATAAAAGTTAAAAGACGGCAAGATTAATGGGTGAGAGGGTAGTCAAATTTTTTTGGGAAAGGTGGGCCTTCAGTTAAAGGATATGTGGTATTGGGACAGAGATACAGAGAAGACGGTCTTTTTTTTCCGCACTTTTAATTAGTACTTCATTATTGTAAATAATAATTAGTGAGAATTAATCTTTAAATCTCTTTCTGTAGAACATCAGCACTGGAATGGCCGTAGCTGGAATAATGTTACTTCTGAGAAGTGTTCGAGCGGTAAGTTACAGAATGAAAAAGGCATTATGATAAGCAGCGAACAGTTGATTTATGCCTACCACTTTTTATTTCCAGCAGTATATCATTTTGTTACTTATATTGGAAGCTTTTAAATAGTACTTTAGAATAATGGGCGTATTTTAAGATCTTGGTTTAAAAGTAGCACAGCCACAGGATCTCATGGAAAGTAATTGCAAAACCTGTATTTCCATAATCACTTTTTTTTGTGATTAAAAAGGAATCAGAAAAGGATTTAGCTTGCTAAAATGGTATAATCACTAAATTTGTGTTTCAGACTTTGCAGATGATTTCAAAAGTTTCTGTCGGAGTTGTAGAATTGGATCATAATTGAATTATGTTGCTTAGTACTGAATAGGTTAGGCTTGCAGTTAGTGTATTTTTTGGCCCTTTTAATATTTTAATAATAGACATATTTGGAAATCTGATAATTCAGGATTTAAAAGTATATTTTATATGACTAATTCTTGCTGTGGAATGTAATTTCAGCGTCGTGTAGAGTACTGGCACGGATTGCTTCTGTGCATACTTATTTCCTTCATTTCTTGTCTGCATACTGTTCTGTGTGGTCATTCACTTCACAGCATTAGTCTGCTGTCCATCTTTTCCAGCTATTGCCTTTTCTCCTGAGTCTAGTTTTAGAACTTCTCATCCTCTAAAAAAAATTTTTGTAATGCCTTGAACTCATTTTTAACCCTGTATCTGTTAGGCGCATTCTTATAACACTTCTGTGATTTCGTAAGTCATTCAATATTTTTTAGCATAGGTACATATTTTTTTAGAATGGAACTTTAGTGCTTTTCATTCTGCTTTTTCTTGACCTGATAATCCATATGCTCGTGACGTACTTGTCTGGTGAAGGTTTTAAATTTGTCAAGAGGTTAAATGATCTGATGAACAGTTTAGGTCGGAATAATACTGAGGGGTCATTTTTCTTGTTACTCTTTAAAAAATACGTGACTCAATTATGGATTATTTTAATCTCTGTTATTTTCAGTATATAGTTCAACATTTCACTTCAGTAATATTAAAACCAGAGGCCAGTTATTGTTTATTGCTTTAGTTTTCTTCTCATGGACTTTCCTGTCCTGATACTGTTTATACAGTATTAGGCACGTTACTGATATGTGCAAGTTACTTAATTGACTATTATAAATTTATATTACATGTTACGAAGTTACTCACTTTACACTTTAGTTCCGGTGTAATTTTTTTAGAGTTCCTGGGTTTTGATGATACTAACCAGTGATGAGAAGGACTAACTAAGGACAGACTAACTAAGGACGTAGAAAAGGAGCGTTGGAACATTAGGGGATAAAAATACTCTGTATTATTTTAGGATTTTAGGATAACTTTGGTTGCAAGTAAGGGAAACCCCAGCTAACAGTGGCTGAATTTTCTCATGTCCCAAAAAGTCTGGAGGTAGGGGGCTGCTGCAGTGGGTCCCTGACCTGATGACATAGGGCTTAGGTCTGTATGGGAGACATAGGCATAAAATGGTGATAAGCCCCAGGGTCAGCATCTTGGTGTTAGGTATTGAAGTAAATTCCTCATGTTGACCTTCTTTTTTTTTTAAATTTGCCTCTTTTATAAGATGTTTAAAACAAAAAACAAAAAACCTTGTTGATTAAGGATTTGGATTTATTTTGGGAGTTCCTGAGGGGCCCAGATGGTTAAGTGCTCAACTGCTAGCCGAAAGGTTGGAGGTTTGAACGCACCCAGAGGGACCTTATAAGACAGGCCTGGGGTTCTGCTTCTGAAAGGTCACAGCCTTGACCCTGTGGAGCAGTTCTACTCTGCACACATGGGGTCGCCACGAGTCAGAATTTATTCATCGGCAACTAACTACAGCAATAACAATTTAATTTGATTCAGCTTTGTGTAGTTTTCTTCTGACAATACCAGCATGAATAGATTACGCATTTACGTAATAGGATGGTGACTGTTTAACTAGATTTGTGTGGTGCCAGGCACAGATGCTCATTGTTGTTTGATGAAATGTGTCAGAGTTTGAGGATATAAGCTTTTAGAAGGTAGTACTCTATTTAATGTTCTCTTTATAGTAGCTTGCAATAGTAAAATAGTGAATCATGATTTCTAAACAATAGTCCTATAAAAACTTTTGATTAAATTATATTGAAGTATTAATGTAGAATTATGAAAGAAATGTAAAATTTTTGATGGTTATGTCTTGTTAAATGTTTTGATAACAGCTTGACTTTTTTATTTTAAAATGGAAATAATAAAATGTTATTTTTTCTCCTTGTAAACCAACAGGCATCAAAATTCACAAGTTCTTCAGATATTCCAGTAGAATTTATAAAAAGGAATGTTAAACTACGTGGACGATTACGTCGAATAACCGAAAATGGTTTAGAAATTGAACATGTTCCTATTACTTTACCTATTATATCTTCTTGGAAAAGTAAGTAAGGTGCAAGAATAATAAGATTAAATAGCTGTTGTAGTATTCTTTTATGAGGTATTTTTGATAAAATAGCAAAAAAGGTCATTTAATTTGTGACAATTCTCCATTGGTTGTCTGTGAGAGAAAGTCCAAACTCTTGGTTTAACGTAAAAGGAGCTATTTAATTTGGCTCCAAATTTCCTTTCTTCCTTCCCTGCTGTTTTTATTCACTCATTCAGTCTTTCATTCAGGCATTAACTCGTTCATTCCACAAATACTGAGCCAGTGTTACATTGTAGATTCTAAGCTAGCTGTACAATGCTGAGTGAAACAAGCAAGGCCTCTCTGCCCCTGGGAGCTTACAGTCCAGGTGGAAGATGGACAGCAAACAGATGAAAACTTGTCCTGAGAACTGTGAAGGAAAAGAACAGGGTGCCAGGGTAGAGAACTGTTGAGGGTTGTGGAGAGGGAGAGTCTTTATGGAGTAGTCAGAGGAAGCCTTCCTGAGGAGTTATTTAATCAGAGACCCCAAGAATGAGAAGGGCTAGTTAGAAAGAGTGTGGGTGGGGACGAGCTTGGCCCTTGTGACAAGCTGTTTGAAGGCTCTGGTGGCCAGGGCACAGGGATCAAGGGAATGAGAGGCACAAAATGAAGTTGGAGGAGGTGAGCAGGGCAGATCTTTCCTGTTGCAATTGGTGTTTCTCATAACTTCATGTCAGAGACCTCAGCCACACAGACCTTGCTGTTGCTTACACATGCTCTGGTGTCCCTAGGCACGGTTCTTTGTCCAGAGTGCCCTGGCTGCTGGATTCCTGTGGAATGAACTCCTGTTGGTTCTTCGTCTTCTTTTTTGGTTGAGAATATACACGGCAAAACATACACCAATTTAGCAGTTTCTCTATGTACAAGTTAGTGACATTGATTACATTCTTCGAGTTGTGTAACCATTCCCACTCTCCTTTTCTGAGTTGTTCTTCCCCCATTAACATAAACTTACTGCCCCCTAAGGTTCTAATCTTTTCAATTGCTGTTGTCAATTTGATCCCATATAGACAATTCTTAAAACTACATAATGCTGAAGGCTGACCTTTTTTTACTAGTTACGGTAAACTACTGTTTGGTTTTAAGACGTCTTCGGGGATATTTTTGGTTTAAGGTTTAAAGCATATCTCAGGGCAGTAGTTTCAGGGATTCAGCCAACTTTCATGGCACCAGGAAGTCTGGAGTCGATGAGAATTTGAAATTCTGATCTGCATTTTCCTCCTTTTGATCAGGATTCTTCTGTGGAATCTTTGATCAACATGTTCAGTAATGGCAGCCGGGCACCATCCAGTTCTTCTGGTCTCATGGCAAAGGAGGCAGTTGTTCATGGAGGCAGTTAGCCGCACATTCCATATCCTCCTATTCCTGACTCTCCTTCTCCTCTTGCTCCAGGTAAATAGAGACCATTTGTGCCTTGAGTGGAAGCTTTCAAGCTTTTAAGCCCCCAGGCACTATGCAACGAACTAGGAGGTAGAATAGAAGCAGTAAATACATTATTAGGCCAGTTAACTGGGATATGATGAACCCGTGACCCTAAACCTCCAAACCAAGGAACCAAATTCCATGAGGTGTTGGGTTGCAGGTGAGCAGCCTTAGCGGCTACTGTTTTTGTTGTTGTGGATGTATCTATTATGCAGCTTTTGCCAGTTCAAATTTTTACAGTTGTACAACTTATTGACAGCAATTAAAATAATCGGCTGTGCAACCCTACCCTTAATGTGATTTTTCCATCACCATTAACCCCCGTTTCCTCCTCCCTGCCATCCCTGGTAACCACTAATAAGCTTTGGTCTCTATACATTTGCCTTTTCTTTTTTTTTTTTATATAAGTGAGGTCATACAATATTTGTCTCTTTGTGATTGGCTTATTTCGCTCAACATAATGTCTTCAAGCTCCGTCCATACTGTAACATGTATCAAGACTTCATTTCTGCTACTGGCCGAGTAGTCTCCTGTTCTTTAAGACTCAGCTCAAATGTCAGCCCTTCTGTGAAGTTTTCCTTTACTCCAAGCAGAGTTATCCTTTGTCTTTACTGCAGTTTATACACACCTTGATTATAGTGTTTATTCATCTTTTCCTATAATTACATGTTTAGATAAATATTCCCCACTCAGCTATGAGCTCCTGGTGGGCAGGGACCTTTTCCTATTTATTTTGATATTCACAGTGCCTAGAAAAATACCCGTTAGCCAATACAGACTTGTTGAAATCTGCCGAATGGATCAATTTAGTTCTGTTTAAAAATCATCTTAGTATTATTTTAACTTTATTTTAACTTTATGAAGAAAAAGGGTTCTTTTTATCCCAGATGAATGAATATCACTCTGTTCAACAAGATATAACTGTAAAGGCGTAAAAGTGATCTCCCTCCCAAACATACTTGACATGATTGATTGTTCAAGCAGAACTTCCCAGTTTGAATGAGTGTTGTTCCCTGAAGAGAAATTACCTAGGGTGTTCGTTTGGGGCCACTTGAGCTCCAAGCAGGGTTCACACTTGACAGGTCCCTTAGCTTCTCCGTTGCTGTAATAATTTAAATCTCTCCTGACTCTCTGGAGCTCAGGCAGCAAGGCCAGCATCTCTGGCAGCGCAGGCTGTGCCTTGTACAACTCCAGGGCTGATACTGAAGCGGAATCGGTCGCCTGGAGTCAGGCAGTGGCTCGGTACTGGAATTGGCAGAGGTGCGTGTTTTTAATGGGTTTCATAAATAACAATGTGTTAGTACGTAGAACGGGAGTTTTAGAGCCAATAGGAACCTTTAGAAAGCATTAATTCCCACCTTTCCTTTTCTCCCCCACTTACTAGTGTATATAGAGGTTAAGTGCTAAGACTAGCTAGCTAGTGACTTGTGAAATCAAAGCTAGAAAACGTTTTCTGCCACTTGGTGGAGAACTCCACGTATAGAGATACACAAGTGAAAGAAACAGGTGGACGTATGTGTTACACTTCTCCGTGGGTGTTAACCAGTGCGAATGTCACGACGGCACTAAGAATGCTGTGTATGTGACGGATAGAAATTGCTCCCGTGAAAGATCGTTTTGCATGTAGAGAAGTGAAACCTGTTTCCCTGTAAAGTGGTTCTAGAACTGCAGAGTTGCCACCAAAGCACCGTTTTGGATGATGTAACAAGATGCTAGAGCATAATCTGTTTTTTTCAGCTTTTGTGCATCCCTTTTTTTTGGTAGTAAATATACATGCAACGAAATATTTGCCGTTTCAGCATTTGTCACACACAATTCAGTGACGTCGTGTTCTTTGTTCTTAAGTAGCTATTAATTGAAAGCTCCTAGGTTCCTTTCAAGGAGCCCTGGTGGTGCAGTGGTTAAAGCAGTCAATTGCTAACCAAAAGGTCGGCGGTTCAAAACCACCAGTGGCTCCACAGGAGAAAGATGTGGCAGTCTGCTTCCTTAGAGATTTACGCCTTGGAAACCCTATGGGGTTGCTGTGAGTCGGAATCGACTCGAATGCAGTGGGATATGTTCCCTTCACTGTTTTCACTACCAGATCTATAAAATAGAAATGCACTCTTGACTTTCTTGCAAGGAGGGCTGAGATTCAAGCCCTGGAACGAGGCCGTTCTAACTAGAATGCTTTGCTTCAGACGACTCTGCAGCAGCGTAAAGGCTACGTGGCCTGGTAGTGGAAGGTGCGTTGGCGTGCGGAACAGTGTTTCCAGCTCCGGACCGTGGTTCTCACCATCACACAGGAGGGTTAGAAGATTTCCAAGACTTTAACTCATGCCCTCTTCTGTGACAGCCTCTCCCACGGTTTTATCGGCGGTGTATATGAATGTAGCTTAAGCACTTCGTGAAGTGAATCTGTTGAAACATTTCCCGATATTTACTGAATACCTGTTCTGTCGTTACAATCTCAGCATATAGTAGCAAACAGTGGATGTGAGCCTACAGTTGTCACAAACCTGCTCTCTAGAGGGGTGTTGTCCAAAGCTGCTCACATCCCTGATGGTAAAAAATAATGTTTTTGGCAGTGTGATACCCCTGTTTCATGAAGTTGTCCATTGTCATGAATCCACATATGATACTGTATAAACCTAGGGTACATATCGGTCACTATTGTATTATGTCCTACCTAAAAACCTTCCAAATATTCAGTCATGATTTCCTGCCCATCTCTGTGAAGCAGAAATATAACAGACTTGGCTGTGGTTTGCTTCAGGATCTACCTCATGTCTGTGGATTTTCCCAGGTGCCCATGGTCTTCTCCCTGCTTGGCATGCTCACTCTCCCGAGTCTCCCCCTCCTCTGTTTGTTCTGCAGCACGCAGGTCTACCTTTTTCCACAGAGTGCTCTTGGGATACCCACATGAGCCCATGTTACTGTCCCCTCCCAACCTTCTAGCATAATCTGTCATCCCATCCAGTGTGAACTGGGCTTTTCTTTCAATGTGTGTATAAGACTTTATTGAAGGTCTGGGAAGATGAAGTGATTCCTATCACAGAAATACAAAACCTAAATTAGAACCTGTAGACTTTTAAAAGTAACATTGATTTTTTTTAAATAGCTCTAACATTTTGGAGAAAATACAGGTACAGCTTAACTTATTCAGTAATTTGCCCCTCGAAGAGTTACTGTTAAATTCTTATTGACTGCATTGTGTTTTAAATATTCAGAGGGGAATTTGGTAATTTTAAAGAAACCCAGTGATCTTTTGTCAAGTGAAGAATTAAGATATTAACACCTAAAGTTGATAGTGTTGAATTAGATTCATGGGCTACCCATTTCCAGTTTTTGATCCCTTAACTCATTAGGTAGCAGCAATTCATCTAGTATCTGTTGGATTCTACCTTCATCTAGTTCACGTGTTACCTGTATCACAGAGTTTTTGCTAAAAACATATTCGTCCTACTTACACTTCCTCAAGTGTCCACTGTAGCTTGGTATTTCTGTGCCAACATGAGAAGACCTTTTGATATTTCCCTAACTGAAACCCTTGAATAGATTTCAGGAAGCCCAGGTCCTAAAGAAAATATTTGTTTATTATCAAATAATATTTTAACAAGGTTCTAGTGTACCTTCTTGAATTCAAGTACAGTTTTTTCCCTAGAGAACAGATGAAGTTAACTTCATACTTTCAGCTATGTTAACAAAAACTCACTACATGTTAAATGTATAATTTCTTTTAAAAAGGACATTTTTTTCAGCTGTTATGAGCCTTTTTTTGAAAATTACGAACATTTTAAAAAATAAAATCCTGCAAAAGGTTTGATGGGAAGCCTAGGGGGCAGTGAGTTGAAGATAATGGTGATGGAATAATTTGGAAAAGGATAGAATAGCAGCACAACTGGAAGAATGTAATCAATGTCACTGAATTGTACATGTAGAAACTTTTGAAATGGTGTTAACTTTGGCTATGTATATTTTCACCAAAAAAAAAGTCCTCCAAGGTCGAGAAGGGAGGGTGTTGACGTGTCTTGGGGTTGTTAACCAATGTCATAAAACAATGTGTGTATTGACTGTTTAATGAGAAACTATTCTGTAAACCTTCATCAAAAGTACAATTAAAAAAAAATTAAAATCCTGGTTAAAATTTTATCCATGGTTTGAGTAAAGAAACCTTCTTAATATTATGTTACTTTGAATTATAAATTGATAAAACCCTGTCTGGAAATCAGCTTCACAAAATGTATCAAAAAGTAATAACATTGGTGTAGATCAGTATTTATTGAAATGGGAAGATATCCTCAATAAGTTAAGTAAAAAAGTAGTTTATATAGATCTATTGGTAATAAGAATTCATTTTACTAAAAGATATCTATAGCTCTTTGTGTGTACACATAGAAATAAATCCGGAAGGATTTTTTTAAAAAGGTTGAATTGGTTAAATCTCACATCTTGTTCTGCAAGTTATTAAAATGGGTTTTGTAATTTTACTGCATCAGTCCTACACTTGAATATAGAAATAAGTCAACCTACATGTAGAGAGTCTGGGTATGTATAGATATAACATTATATTCAGCTGTTAGTTTGGACCACATTACTTTGGAATTTGCTTTTGCAACTTAAGCTAAACTCCTTTCTACCTGACCTTTCAGAGGAGCCACGTGGTGCCTTGCTGGTTAAGCTGGCTGGAGTAGAACTCACGCTCGCTGGGAGGGTTTGGTTGCAGAGAGAGCTGAAGCCGTCCCAACTACTGTGGTTCCAGCTTCTTGGAAGGGAGAACTCAGCACTCTTTTGCTACCTGTTAGTGAAGAAGGTAGGTAGTGTGAAGAAATAGCTAGGAATATCTTTATTCTTATTTTTATATTTAAACATTTATTAAAACTGTGAATACATATTGAGACCTCACGAATCTTTTTTTCTGTTTGTTGCTGTTGTCGGGTGCTGTCGAGCTGGTTCTGACTCATAGCAAATGCATCTTAAGTTTAAAAGTGACTTAATAATACAAGATTATATAAAGCATCCCACAGGCCTTACAAAATATTAGCTTCTCTTTTAGGCTGAAGAGTATAATATAGTTACCAAAAAAAGAAAAAAAACACAAAGGAAGTGATTATGAGAATGGTGGAAATAATTGTGATATATTTCAGTGTTTGCCACGTGCCAGACAGTGAGCTAGGCACTGTGGGTGTATTATGTCATTTATCCTTAAAACGACCCTGTGAGATCATTGCTTTTCTTCCCATTTATAGGAGGGACTCCAGGAAGGCCAGTGCGTTGAATAGTCAGGGTAGTCAGTGGGATTCAAGCCCAGCTCTTCCTGGCTCTGGATCCCACACCACATGTCTTTATATTGTTTCTTAGAAGGTGACAGAATTTGCTATAGGCGTATTACGGTAATTTACTTCTGCTGAATTTTACTAATGTGTGAAATTGAATTTTAATTATTCTGATTTTGGTTCAAAGGAATAAACTCAGAATTTTAAAAATAGAGAAAAATTATGATAAACCCTTTAAAACTGTATTTACTAATTTACCTTCATGTGTCGAAAGTTACTACGTTGAAAGGAACAAAAGCTACTTTGTTCCTTTAGAGGATCTTAACAAAATGTCTGCCAGTTTAAGTCTGGAGTGTTCACATTTTAGAATTTAATTAAATTACTTTTCTGAGGAAGCTGTTAAGTTATTAATACTTTTTGGAATTAATTTTATTAGATTGAAATCCCCGAAGAACTGTAGAAATTGCTAAGCAGGCTCTCCTTTACACTGTAAATCAGTGAAAACAGTCTTATTTATTCGGTTTCATTAGGAAGTGTGAGATATTCCATGAGTGAAATTTCTTCAAGAATGAAGAGTCAAGCAAGGACCAGCACAGTTTTTACTTTAATTATCTCAACGGAAGTTTTTAAAAACATGTATTTACATGCCACTGCCCTTATAAACACTGAAATACCCAACCTCATTGATGATTCTGTTTTGCTTTCTTCTGCTTTTTAGTTTGTCTCCTTTGCTCCTGTCATTGTCCCGATATTGTGTGCCCCACCCCCTCCAAGCAACAACCAACAAACCATGAAACCCAAGCCCTGGTGGTGCAGGGGTTAAGCATTCCACTGCTGACCTGCGGTTCAAATCCACCAGTCGCCCCTTGGGAACCCTATGGGACAGTTCTCGTCTGCCCTGTCGGGTTGCTATGCGTCAGAAGACTTGATGGCAGTGGGTTTGGTGTCTTTGCTTCTTTGGGTAAGACCAGTGAGTCTGTGAAGAGTTACAAGAGAGCCGATTAGACTTTGAGCAGAGGTCTCTTCAAGTAATAAAATCTTGGATTTTAGCAATAGCTGTTTTCCACTCTTCGGGACCTTTTTGCTCTAAATTTTTGGCTTTTCTCTGGAGGACTAAAGTTACTGAATGACTGATTTTAAGGTAAAAAAGATGTCAGTCTACTAACGGTTTTATTAATTTATTGGTTTGTGTTATTTTTTTTTAATTTAAGGGTGGATATTTTAATGTGAGCCTGAATGAAGAAATTTTGAGAAGAGGCCTTGGTAAAACCGTTCTTGTTAAAGACCTAGATTATGATTCTAAAATCTACTGGACAATTCACAGAAACTTGCTTAAAGCAGAATTAACAGCCTTAAAAAAAGGAGAAGGAATATGGAAGGAAGAATCTGAAAAAGAAAGTTATTTGGAAAAACTCAAAGGTTCCTGGAGAGAAATATGGAAAAAAGACAGTTATTTTAAAGAAATTGGATCAAATTTCAACTTGAAAAAAGAAAGTTATTATGACAAACTTAGAAGGACTTACAAGACCTGGAAAGAAAACGTGAATAACTACACCTTAATACTGAAGTTCAGAGAACTTTTGAGTCGTGTGTACTTTCGTAGAAAAGAGTGAAATATTTTAAGCCTGGAGGTGACTTACTTTAAAAAGAGCAGAATTTGTAAATATGTGGATATTTTTCATGGAGTTGGAATAGAAATTTCCCCAAATGATCAAAGTAGTAGCAGCCAGTGTAAAATCACCACATAGTTAATAGTAAAGCAAAGAGAAAGGTTTTATTTGGCACATGTTCCATGAGGCAAAAGTGGGAAATGGACGAGCATGCTGCCGGAGCCACGTCTGTCCGCTTCCAGAGAAGGTTACAGAGTCTTCAGTATACATCAACATTACAAATGGGTAAAATCATTAAAAGCTTCAGGCTTTCACAGATTGGCTTAAAAACTGCCAAATCACTGTGATTCTACGTTTTGAATTGTCTTTCTGAATGATCATTGGTCCAGGTTTTAGTGCTGATAGCCAGAGTCTTCAGTGGTGCAGCAACTCCTACTACTTACTAAATGCTGATAGGAAAAGATAAGAGTAGGAAACGTGGGTCTTTTATGCTCCATTTTAAAGATTGGTTTATGCACCAGGTTCCCTAAAAGCTGTTTTCCAAGATTGTCCCAACTGAGGTGTCCTTGTGAGTCCTTGTTGTTCCAGCAGGGTCACATTCTTTATACTCAAGGACCAGGCAGTAATGGCCCCAGTTTTAACTCCCAAGTCAGTAGTCTAACAGTGTTTAAATATTACCAAGGTGATTAGTATAAACGACATATCAGAATTAAATTGTGATTCATGTAAATTTTATATGCATTTAAGAAAAATAAAAACTGCCAGTTGAAGGTTCCAGTACGGAGTGTAAATGTTTGCAGAGCTTAACTGCTGTGGTATTTGTGTCATTTTGGGCAGCCGTATTTAATTTTTGTTGAAAGAGAATTTTTAGTTTCCCAGTTCTATCAACTTTATAATAAAGGGACTCTTTATTCTTCATGTTTGAGACTACGTCTTCTCTCCCAACTACTTCCTATCTGCTGGTGATTTGGGGACTGTGTTACAGAAGGTCACTTAGACCCTTACTAGTAATAAAGAATGGCTGATTTCTACCTGTTGTTACCAAAAAGAAAAAGCAACGGGGGACACGGAAATGTTTGTGTAGTATGAAGTTACTGACTCCACTATCACTGCAGGTTTACATGTATACATACGATTGTAATTTTTTTGTATATGGAAGAAAAATAAATAATGTATTTTTAGTTTATTCTTAAAAATAAGATCATTGAAGTATAGCTTGTTTTAGGAATCTTTGGATTAGTGGGAAATACTTATTTTTTAAAAAATTCTTCTTTTACGTAATCCTGTCACATAAATAGACATTGAGCAGTTTGTTAACTGAGTGAATGAAGCCTCTGATTTGTTTTTGTTTTCCAATTGTTTGCTTCTATTATATAAGAATACAATTTGGTAAATTCACTTACTAGTTCTGTTGATTGTTTTGGAGGTTCCTTGAGATTGTAGACAGTCATATCAGAAAATACGGGCAGTTTTACGTCTTTCTGATCTTCGTGCTTTTTTTTTTTTCCTTGCCGTGTGCAGTCCAGTATAATGTAGAGCAAGCAGATGTAATGAAAGTAAGTATCTAGCCTTGGTCCCTTGGGGAAAATGTTCAGTATTTCATCATCAAGTGTGATGTTAACTCTGAATATGTCCTTTGTCAGGTTGATGAGTTCCCTTCTATTCCTAGTTTGCTGAAGGTTTTGTTTTGATTTCCTTTTTCAATCATGAATGGTGTTGAATTTTGGCAAATGCTTTTTCCACCTCTATTGAAATGATCATGTGATTTTCCTCCTTTGTTAATACAGTGAATTACATTAGTTGATATTTGAGTGTTAAATCAATCTTGCATTGCTAGCATAAATCTCCCTTGGTCATGATACATTAGCCTTTTTTTATACTATTGAATTTGATTTGGTAATATTTTGTTAAGGATTTTTGTGTCTATATTTACGAGGGATATTCACTTGTGATTTTTTCTTCTTTTTTTTTTTTTTAATAGTCTTTTTCCGGTTTTAGTATTAGGGTTATTCCAGCCTTATAAAATAAGTTGATCTTATGACCCTTTCCTCTATTTTCTGAAAAAGTTTGTGAAAATTTGTGTTGTTTCTTTTTTAAATGTTTGATAGAATTCACCACTGAGGCCATCTAGACCTGGAATTTACTTTTGGCATGGTTTTTAATGTTTTCAGTTTACATAATAGATAAAGGACTATTCCAGTTTTCTGTTTCTTCTTGTGTCAGTTTTGGTCAGTTGTATTTATCAAGAAACTTGTCCATTTCATCTAAATTATCAAATTTATTGGCATACAGTTATTCATAATATTTTATTATTGTTCTTTTAATATTTGTCAGATCCACCCCTTTTTCATTCCTACCATAGATGATTTTGTATTCTCTCCCTTCTTTGTTTTTCTTTGATCCGTCAAGCCAGAAGTTTGTCAATTTTGTTTATCTTTTCAAAAGAACCAGTGCTTGGCTTTGTTTCTCTACTGTCCACCTGTTTTTTATTTTGTTGATTTCTGCTCTTATGTTTACTGTTTTCTTCCTTTGACTTAGTTTGTGATTACTTTGCTCTACTTTTTCTTGGTTCTTAATGTGGAGCCTTAGAACATTGATATTAGACTTTTCTTTTTTTCTAACATAGCTGTTAAGCTGTTAGTTTTCTTTAAACATTGCTTTAGCTGCATCCTATAGATTTGTGTATGTTGTGTTTTCATTACCATTCAGTTCAAAATGTTTTCTAATTTTCCATGTGATTTCATATTTGACCCATGAATTATTTAATAGTGTATTAATTTCCAAATAGTTTTTTTAGGTATCTTGTTATTGATTTCTAATTTAATTGAACTGCTTTGTTCCCCAATTTCTTGTTATGTGAGATAGTATCTTTATTTTTAAAACCACTTTGAGTTGGTTTGAAGATTTGACATAAACACATACTTGCAGCTAAAATCATCCTTACAGTACAAGCTCATTTCATATGGTCAGCAATAATCCACTAATACCCAGGCCCTCTTACTTTTTGAATATATTTGTCTCAAACAAACTTAGTTCTTCTAACTTGATTTCTAACGGATTGGGGTTTTTTTTTGTTTGTGTTTTTTTTCCTCTTTTAATCTGTTTTTTAAAAATTCATATTTCCTTTTTGGGTTTTATTAATTTTTTTTATTTTCCAATCATATATATTAAATGTTGTTAGCAACACCAGCCTTATCATAATAAATGATGAGCAAAACTTGGAAGAAGAATGAAAACTATGCCTATAAATATGACCAACGCTATCATCATTTGGCTGCTGAAAGCACATTCCAGCAGTATTCAGAGAGGGAAAATGTCTCCTTACTTTCTGCTTTCTGTTTATTGTCCTGATATTTCTGTTGATTCCATTCATAAGGCAGGTGTCCAAATGCTGGCTTTTCTCTGGCACATTTGGCCATAGTTACTACTCCATGAGGAATCTCTAGGGGCTCCCCATCACTGTCCCTAGCTAGGGAAATCCTTACCTTGTTTCTCTTCCCACCTCCTTAACTCCCAAGGCAGTCAAGTCCACAACCTCTTGCTGCCAGATCCCTACCATCTAGGATAGCAAGTGCACACAGGAGTTTGGTTGTGGAATGGGGCTGGGCTTAATCACTCCATTTACCATAAGATAACGCGCCTTCCACGGTTGTTTGCCAACTTCTCCCTCCCTTACAAGGTATTTTCATGAGTGCTCTATGCTAATTTTTTTTACAGCAACATGTAAAAACAATTGGCATAGCGATTATGAAAGTATCTTGTGGGGGGAGGGAGCAGTTGGCAAACAATGTGTGCGTTACTGGAGTAAAAATATGGTCATCATGGGAGAGGGAGGATTATCAAGTCTGCTTAAGTGCTGCCAGTTTGCATCATGCCGGTGCAACTTACAGGAAACTCATGTTCTTCAGCTAAGTGACACTAATGTAGGCTATCCTCCAGGCACTTGATCTTTGCTGTTTCTATCATGCCCCTTTCTGTTTTCGCAGGAAAACGAGGTCCAGTGACGTAGCAGATTTCAGAAAAGAGACAATCACCATCGCCCAACTTAGTGGGGACAGGATACACGGCACCCTCAGTCTTGTAGAAAGGGGAGTGAAGTACAACTGTCACATCTTCCTTCTCCCCCATGTGAAGGCATTGTTGCTTCACAAACTTTTAACTTTCTGACTCCCGCTTACTCCCACTCCTCTTATATCTCTTGGTCATAAAACCTTCCAAATCAGCTTGACCTTTCCCACCACTGGGAAAGCCTAGTTGGGGGAGGGGGGGGTCTCCTGCCGGAAATGCCATGTTTTTAAAACGTGTTTCTGAGGAAAATCGGGCATGGCTTCCACAGTGACGCTCTCTGTGTTGTTCCTCCCTCTCTGTCTGTAATTCCCTGAGTTCACCAAACATCCCAGTCAGTACCTCATGCCAACCTGGTACACTTGCAAAACGTGCCTTAGGAGAATTAACTATCTGGCAGGCAGATAATGTTGTGCCAAGAGTTTTATCGTCTGCATTTATCCAGCATTATTTGGTTGCTCATCAAGATGAGGTCTGCAGCTTTGAGATACGGGTCACTCGCCGGGATAACGTAACTTAATCTGCTGTGAACAAAAAAAAAAAAAAAAAACCAAACATTGCCACTGAGTCAATTATGACTCATAGTGATCCTATGGGACAGAGTCGAACTGCCCCATAGGGTTTCCAAGAAGCAGCTGTTGGATTCGAACTGCCAACCTTTTGGTTAGCAGCCGAGCTTTTAGACGCTGCGCCACCGGGGCTCTTATCTGCTGTAGAGTGGTATATTGCTGGCACAGTCTGTCCCAAATCCAATGGTTGTATATGCTAGTATTACGGATTGAATTGTGTCCCCCAAAAATATGTGTTGTCAATCCTAACTCCTATGCCTGGTTTTTGTTATGTTAATGAAGCAGTGTTAGTGTAGAGTGTGTCCTAAATCAATCTCTTTTTGAGATATAAAGACATTAAACAAGCAAGTGAGCCAACGGGGGGAAGAGTGATGCCGCACCATGTGAAGATCGCCCAGGAGCAGAAGCTCAAGGAGACAAGGACCTTCCTCCAGAGCCAGCAGAGAGAAGAAGCCTTCCCTTAGAGCCAGTGCCCTGAATTCGGACCTCTAGCCTCATAAATTTCGAGAAAATAAATTTCTGTTTGTTAAAGCTGCCCACTTGTGGTATTTCTGTCATAGCAGCACTAAGAAACTAAGACAGCTTAGACAACTGTGATCTTTATGAAGAGGCTAGATGGTTCAGGAAGCCAGCAGCAGCGTTTCCAAGTTCAGGGCTCCAGCAGAATCCTTCCTGCTCGTCCAGCACGGAAAGGGACGGCAGATCCACTAGGGGACGGCGGCTGCTGGGCTAACTGGGCAGGAAACTGTTTCCAGGCTCTGCGGTTAGGAGGGTCTCTAATACCACTACTAAGGCAGCTAGTTCAGTGAAGGTGAATCATGGGGAGAGTAACGCAAATTTACAAAAAGTAAAAAAAAGGAGTAAAAGTTACAATGGTTTAACAACTGCACTGAGTAGGATCACAATAGAGGGCCCCAGACGGGGAGAAAAATGTAGAACAAAAAATCAAATCAATAAAAACAGACCAGACTTCCTGGCCTGATAGAGACTGGAGGAACCCCCATGATTGTAGCCCTAAGACACCTCTCTGACTTGGGACTGCAGCCATTCCTGGAAACCACCTTCCAGTCAAGCAATAGACACACGCCTATAAAACAACACCCGAAAACAACGTGCTCTGTAGAACAAACAATTTTATGAGACCAAAAGGGCACATTTGCCCAAAAGTAAAGATAAGAAGGCAGGAAGGAGTAGGAAAACCAGACTGTAGGGCATGGGGAACCCAGGGCGGAAATGGGGAGAGTGCTGACCGTGTGGGGGTTGCACCCAACGTCTGAAACACTTTACATACAATTTGTTGAATGGGAAACTAATTTTAAAAAATCGTTAAAACAAGTTTAATAGTAAAAAAGTCTAAAAAAATGAACCAATTATTTTATTTCAAGATGGCCACTCGAGCTCATTTAACTCCCATCCCTCCTCTTAAAATTGCGTTGAAATAATAAATATTAAAATAGAAAAAAATGATGTTAATGATGGAAAACGGGAAGATGCCATTACTTAGCTAGAAATTTTGAAGTTTTGCAAACTCTGATGAAGTGACATTGCATTGAGATACTGATCATTCTAGGGCTCTGCACAGGGAAGAAGGCAGGGTTTGTTTAGGAAATAAGTAGGTGGGATTAGCCAATAAAGTTCTTAAAAGTCCATCCTCTGGCTTGGTGTCTGAGTGACGTGCATGCCTTTTGGTCAGGTCCAGAGGTCACTCTTCATGACCTGGAAGCTAAGGTCAAATGTCAATGCACCCAATATACAATGTGGAGGGAAAATAGGATGTCACTGGTTAGTAGCATTATGTCTTCTGCTGAACAGAGCTGTGATGACTCCCGGCCCTGGAGTATGTGGGTTTCTTGATGGGCCCATCTGGGTGCCCCAGCTCCGTTCTCTGGAAGATGGCCCTTATCTCTGTGACCACTTCTAAAGTAGGCAGCGGGGAGGATCCACCTTAAGAGCTGGGAAACTTCAGAAGCCCCTTCCTGTTGCTGTGGGTTGAGAAGCCTG